TTTTCTTCCTCTATCTTCTTGGAAAAGGCTAACCGGGAAGGGAAGGGTGGTGGTATGACCAATGGCTTGATAGGTTTGTTGGAATATTCAGGTTGCTCAATGTTTGGAACAACCGGTTCCTTTGGAGGAACTACCACTTTCGAAGGTTCAACAATAAGAACTTCATCTTCATCTTCTCTTGAAACTCTTTTAGGGTTGCTTTCTCCAAGTGTTTTCCCACTTCGCAAGGTTATTGCACTCACATTGGGGTTCTTCTCGGTTTGAGATGGAAGTTTGCCCCTTTGTTCTATCTTGTTGAGAGTGGTGACCAAGTCTCCAATTTGTGCTTGAATGTTGGAGAAAGTGTTCTTGCTCTCTTGTTGAAATTGAGTTTGGCTTTGAGCAAGAGAAGTGACAAGTTCTTGAAGGCTCATGTGGTGGGTATCACTTGATTGGCCTTGTTGATGAGGTGGTTGGTAATTTGGAGGGAGGTGAGATGTTTGTGGATATGGAGGTTTTTGGGAAGGATATTGCGGATGTTGGGGTCTCATCAAAATGTTTGGTGGATTTTGCTTTGATGGGTATGGATTGTTTGGGTTATTCCTCCAATTTAAGTTGAAATTGTTTTGAAATCCCATGGGTCTTGGTTGACCTTGATATCCTCCCATTGCATTCACATCTTCTGGTTCACTTCCAAGAGTGGGACACTTATCCGTATAATGCCCCGTCATGGCACAAATACCGCATACCATCAATTGTTGACCACTTCCCACCACCATTTGACTTAGCACATTAGTCAAATCCAAGAGCTTTGATTCCAAGTGTTGAGTGTTGCTAACTTCACCAACCACTTGTGGAGAATTTCTCTTCATTTCATTTCGAGTCCCAAAGTTCCTTTGATTTTGAGAAATGGTTCCAAAAAGTGATCTTATCTCTTGAGGGGTTTTGTTGAAGATGTCACCACCACTTGAAGCATCAATCATCCTTCGATCTTTTTCATTCATACCCTCATAAAATTGTTGAAGAAGTAATTGTTAGGGAATGTTGTGTTGAGGACAACTTGTACACAAGTTGTTGAATCGCTCCCAAAAATCATGAAAAGTCTCATTCTCCCCTTGACGAATCCCCAAAATGTCGCTTCTTTGACTTGATATCCGGGAGGTGGGATAAAACTTGCTATTGAAGGCTTTGAGTAACTCTTCCCATGTGTGAATAGATCCCGGTGGTAAGTTGAATAACCACTCTCTAGCTTTATCTTCCAAGGTGAGCGGGAAGGCGGTTAGCTTGAAATCATCCAATGTCACATTTTCGGGCAACATGCTAATACATATCATATGAAAGGACTTCAAATGCTTTTGAGGATCTTCTCTATCCAATCCATGGAACTTAGTAAGTTGATGTATGAAACTTGACTTCAATTCAATTCCTCGGCGGTTTGCGGGATAAACAATAGCAAGAGGTGTATGAGTAACATCCGTCTCCATCATTTGTCTAAGTGTCAACTCTTGAGGGGGGTTGGGTGGATTGGGGTTATTGGGATATTGGTGCATGTAATTGGATGGTTGTTGGTAAGGTGGGTATGGGTATTGGTTGTGATTGTATATTGGTGGTGGATAAGGTTGGTAGTTTGGGTATTGGTTGTAAGGAGGTTGTTGTGGTGGGTACATTGGGTTTTGGTACATTGGAGGTTGTTGGTAATTGGGTTGATTTGGGTAATGTACTTGTTGTTGAACATGAAAAGCATTGGTTTGAGGTTGGTTGTTTTGGTGGAATTGTTGGTTGTGTGGTTGTGGAGGTTGATAATTGGGTTGGTGTTGAGGAGGGGCTTGATTCCAAGGTGGCATATCAATGAGAGATTCTTGTGGTTGTTGTCTTGGTTGATGGGGTGGTGTATTGGCATCTTGATTGTTAGGGTTTGGGTTGGGATTGTGAGGTGGAGTGTGATTCATGGCGATGTAGTTTTCAAACGAAATCTCTTCAAAGGAATGACCAACAATTGGAGAACTCGGTTCGGTGTCGGTATCACTTGAAGTGTGAACTTGATCTTCTATGTTGATTAGTGGAGAAGAGGAAGAAGCTTGAACTAGTTGTTGTTGCTTTGCTTGTTTGGCTAAAATTTTCAACCTTTTTGCTTCTTTTTCAATTTCCGGATTGTAGAGTAGTTCACCGGTTCTTGTAGACCTAGGCATAAACAATCAAATAACAATAACCAATTTCCCCGGCAACGGCGCCAAAACTTGGTGGGATGTCAAGTTCACCAAGCAAATTACACCCTTTGTTTGCAAATAAAACGTAATATAATGGTAAAAAGGGGTATCGATCCTCGGGGAAATGGTTGTATTCAATCACCAATGCAATCCAATAGAACTAGTGAAAATAAACTAACTAATTACAATTAATCTAAAAGGGGGGGGGTGTTATGATTGCTTGAAAACTAAAAGACTTGAATAACTAAATACTTGCAATTAAGCAAGAGAGTGAGATGCTCAAATATTAGAGAGAATTGGTAAACCAAGGCAATTCAACACAATGAACATTTGTGTGTTTATCATTAGGATTTAACATGAAGCTTATCATTCATCCCAAATTGGTTATAGCAATCATGAAGCATGATATGCCAAGATTTCTCATAGGTAGTATGGAGGTTGGGGAAGCCCACAACACACCTTCTTAATCAAGATCAAGGGTTAATTGAAGAAATTAAACCCAAGAAGTTGATTAGCCTTAAGAATGAAGAAATCCCCAATTCCTAGAGGATGTCAATGCTTACACATACATAAAGGAGTTATGATTCATAAGCTAGAGATGATTTCTACCATCATAAAGCATTTGTTCTAAGTAAATTTAATGATTCAATGCTAAACCAAAGAAATAAACCAACAATTGCTTATTAAAGTACCAAGCTCATGATCAAAGCACTAAACAAGCATAGGAAATATGAACTAGAATCATAGACATAAGATAAATGATAAATAAGCATAAATCCTTCAAAAACCCACAAACATTCAGAGGTTTTAGCCAAGGTCTACCAAAATAGAGAGTTTAGCCACTCATGGCAATAGAACAACAATCACAAAAGTCTAATTGCATAAAGAAACTACCAAATAACTTGGAAAGATGAAAAGAAATGACTCTTGAGCTTCAAAATCGCCTTCCTTCAGCTCTTCAATGGTGTAAAATCGAGTTATGGCTGCTAGATCTGATCCCCCAAGGTAATGGCAAGCCAAATGACCAAAATGCCCAAACTGGGCAGTTGCGCGGGTACCCGCGCGACGAAAATTCCACCCGTGCAAATGTTGCTGTAATGTTATTGGTCCTTCATTCCTCCACTCCACCATTCCACTACCAAAGATTCCTTTGGTCCCCTCCATATCCATGTGATTTAAACCAACCAATCATCATTTAGCTACAAAAGTGGATGCTTCAAGCCCAAATTAACAATCCATGATCCATTTTTCACAAGCCCACTTCATCCAAGCCTTTATCTTTTTAAGCCCAAATCTTCTTTGGTGGATCCGCCAAGCCCAATAATGCATCGGAAAGCCCACTAAGCCCAACTCCAGTCAAACCACAACCGCAATGAGCTCCAAAACCCTGCAAAATTCCTCATGCAAAATAAAAAGTCTCCGATACGATCCATGATAAAGAAAATAAAGAATATACAATGCAATACTAATAAAAAGAGCTAAAAATCTAAAATAAACTAATAAAAATAAGGAAATAAAATAAGCTATCATGGGGCTTTGGACTTGGGAGCTGGAAGATTGTTCTCTTTTAATAGGGTGTTACTTTTAAAATGGCGTTGCATGTTCTTAAATGAACCAAGTAGCTTGTGAATAAAAGTTGCTAAGGCGATGCCTGGAGATAGAGAAGCTCTTTACTCATATTCAAAACTAAGTTCAAGGCAAATCAAGTCCAAGTAAAGAGTTAGTTGTCTCATCAATCATGCAATTACAAAACTGTAAATAAATCCAAACAAACAATTAAAGAAAAAAACAATAGTTTAACACATAAGATAGCTCCCCAACGACATCATAAGCATCATCATATGTATTATAGGCAATAACCAAGCATCATTATCCTCACTTCATGTATTATTTTAGATCATTAGCCATATAATATTAATAAGGCAAAATGACTCAGGAGGATAATCAACTGTTGATTTATTTTACATTTGGTTCCTTCCTTTTTTGTACGCAATATATCATTTAACTTATTGTTTGTGTTCACCAAAACCCTTTTGACCGGGCCTGTGATAGCCGGTCAAAAAGGTTATAGTCAGGGCCGTTCCAAACATATTTTGGGCCCAGGGCGAGAGAAAAAAATGGGCCCTTAAATTACACAAATGTCATCAAGTTTTTTATAATAACTCAATAATCGAAAGAAAATTACTTATACTATCTTCTAAATATAACAATTTCCATAAAAAATTTGAGTCCCTTTAAAAGATGGGCCCTGGACGGTTGCCCCTATCACCCACCCTCTGGGGCGGGTCTGGTTATAGTGAACACAAACAAGTTAGATGATATATTGTATATAAAAAATGACAAAATGTGAACAAAATCAATAGTTAGTTATCTTCCCGAGTCATTTTTCCTATAACTTAAGATGAAAAAGCATGTTGCCATATAATAGGTAATGTGTGATATGTATGTCATTATCAATATAGAGTGTATGACTTCTATAATAAATGTTAGGAACATATTATAAAAAGGCTTTGTAGAATTTATAAGTTGGATATACCAAAAGTTTGGTGTGTATATTAAAATACAAAATGAATTTGATAAAGCACAATGCCTAAATAGGTATTGGATTAAACCAAGAGATAAACAAATGTGGGGCCCAAAACAAACCAATATCATGAAACACTAAAAGAAATGGAAGAGGTAGAGCGCTCTTTCTTATTTTTGTAGCTTTTCGAATCACCTAAATTGAGAATGTGATGAAAAAGTTATGGATAAAACAAGATTGCATAATTCAAGTTAACAAGTTAAATGAGTAACATTAAACAAAAGTTACCTAAAAATAAAATCAATATATTCAAACAACACACAAAACCTTCTAAAGCGCATTATTATACAAAAATAAATAATTATTACCATAATAACTATGTTATTGTACTCATATTTAACATATTATTAAATTGAATAAAAAAAATACATATGAACAGCTGCAACCATAATATCATATGGACTTGATACTCAAGTATCACTCCAGTTATCATCTTCTCCCTCATCACTTCCTACAGCCTAACAGTTTTAAAAAAACACATAAGAATTAATTTAGTTCAATTGAATAAAAAATTAATTTTCTGAGTAACTAAATCCATAAAATGGTGAAAAGGGTAAACCTGTCTAATCGCATTTGCCTTCTCGAGAATTGCAGTGACTTTAATTCCGGTAGGGGCAGTTGGTGTAATTGTTGGCGGAGCTGTTGAAGTTCGTCTTAGATTGAGTGACTACATGCCATAAAAAAATGTTAAGAGAATCGTATATTGGAAAATCAAAATTTGAGCGAAAAATATTTACCAAAAAGCCCCTTAGATGACTAACCTTTGTTCTAATCTGCTGTAAAAAATCTTCTTTTTCTTTAACCATTTTCCCAACGCGATTATACTCTTTCTCAACATGCATATTCTGCAAATTAAAATAAAACATATGTCACCCATTTCTTTGCTTTTATAAAAAAGAAAAAAAAAAAAAAAAAAAAAAAACCGTTCTTACTGTGGGCTTAGGCATAAGATCAACCGTTTCAACAAAATGACCCGGTTTTATTGGAAGTGGTTGAGGGTGCTGAGGTGTCAAATTCAATGCATAAGTCAACGCTTCTGAGAGACCATCATCTTCTTTCTCCATCATCCCACTTGAATCTTGCTTAACACCCCGCCATTCCATTGGCGGCAGAGGTGGCGGAAGTGGTGTCGGCTCCTTAGGAATACATGATTCCTTCACCTGGTTATGTACAACACCATTCATAGAATCAAAGTTTGGAATATCGGGGAATCTAATTCCATTCACAAGAGAGCTCGAAGCCGATTCCGCAGACGAAATCCTTCCAAAAGCATCGTCCAGCTCACGACCACCCTTCATTCCCGGAGACTCCCCGGAATCCCACTGGTCGGAATTCGATTCCGAGGCATGACTACGGTCGTCATCCGATGCGTATGGTGACGATCTACAGAACGTGTCGTCATCGGAATCGGAACCGGAACCAGAACCGGAATCACGTAACGACATTCCGGGCTCGGGGACTAATTGAAACGAAGGAAACATGTTCCCGTATCCGTTACTTTCATTGTTATCATTATTATTACTCCCATCAGGGAACATTAGTTTCAATTTAGAAGTCTCGAATCCATCAATTGGTTGAAAAGATATTCTCATATGTTCAAGAGGAGGTGAAGAAGGTGAGATGAAAGAAGAAGTTCCATTCCCGAATTGTTCTCTGAAAGGTATTCCTGTAACTGTGTGAAGTCTTTCAGGGACATCAGTTTTCACAGAATTTGCAAGTGTTTCGTTTCCAACAAGTGAAATTTGTCTTCTGAAACCATTAACAAGTAATCGATTGCTAAATTCAAATATCCGAGATGAATTCATGTTATCTTCAGATTTCGAAGCGTTAATGTTAACCACTGTATCTTCATTAATGGTGTTTTTCTGTGTCTCATCGGTTTTAGTTTCTTCAATACTACGTGTCGACAAACCAAAATCTGGAGGTTTTGAAGGTTCGAGTCCCAACAAACCGCCATTGGTCCAGAACATAACCGGCTGATTGAGAGTAGTTTGACTTTGACTTTGATTTTGACCACCGGAAGTTTCCGGCGATTGTTCCGGTGACATCGACTCATTGGTGGTTAACGGAAATTGAACGGTTTCAACTTCTTTAGATTCAACAGTCGCCGGATTTGCAGCAGGCGTTTCAACTTCTTCAGATTCGAACTTCTCAGGGGTAGTAACGGAAATTGAATTCTGCTCATAATTCTCGTTGTTTGAGTAAATGTGATCTTCCATATGAGATTCTGGTGATTTGCTAGATGAAGTATGTTCAGGAACATGAAACTCGAAGTTAGTTGACATGTCATCTTTGTTGTTTGTATTATTGGTGTATTGCTTCAGTTCTCGTTTTGTTTGACAATCTAAATCGGTTTCTGATTCTGATTCAATGGTGTTAAGGGCATCAAGGTAATAATCCGTTTCACTTTCAATCTCATCATGCTGACCCCTGGGATTGGAAACAATTGGTGTTGGAATAGGTTCATCATGAAACCCAAAATCAATATGATCTTCTTCTTTCTCCTCAATATTTTCAGATGGGCGCCCTGTAGAATCTATGATTTCTAACTTTTCATCCCAGGTAATGTAAGGTGATCTTGAGGTATTGTTGATATTTTCATCTGGAAGAACAGAAACTCCTCCATTGTTGTCATCAATGGAAGCTGAATCAAGAAAAGAATTATGATGATAATCAGAAGAGGGTTCTTTAAGATTGTTGTTGTCTTCAGATTGTGTTGAGTAGCTAGGACGAAAGATACACTCGATGTAATTTGAATCGTTTCTTGATTCGAAAGTAGCCAAATGGTCAATTTCAGGGTCAATTCCGGAATTTTGTGGGACATTGAATGTGGACATATCTTGAGAAGGAGAAGGAGAAGCTTTTTCTACCATGTTTGAAAAGCCAAAATCCATACTGTAAAAAAGAGTTTAATCATATAACTTCATTAGCAAATAGCAAGTATTTAAACACTTTCAATACATTATTAGACACAATTTTAAGAGAGTTGTTGTACCTTTCTGTATGCATAATTACTGGAGCTTCATGTGTCAAATCTCTATACCTTGAAGTTTTCTTTTTCTGCATAAAGTACACATTTGTAAGACTATTCAAGAGTTAATATTAATAATATATATATATATTTTATGTTTGCTAATGAAACATACCTTATTTCTACGAGCCTTCTTTTCTCTTGGGACATTTTGAAGATGTGCTTCATAAGGGCCAGATGAAGTTCTTTTAAAATAAGTTGGATCAGAGTATCTTCTGAAACAAGATCCCGGGCCACCTATGTCATATCTGAAAGAAAACCATGAAAATTAAGAATACGCCTACAAATAATATATTATAATTAAAAATATAAATTAAAACAAAATATGAAATGATTATCATACTTGTCAAGCTTGTGTAAACGTGGAGGATCACGACAGTCTTCATAGGCGTCCATAATGCATCGCGGCAAGTCACTGTATATGAAATGGTTTTGTTCGGTTTTGAGTCGAGAATGCCAGTGAGAACCTGCCATATAAAAGTATATAAATAAAAAACAAAATAATTTATCATATAGTGGATCTTTCTCTCTGGAGGCCCTATGTGTTTCCTCCGGTTTTGTAGTTTTCCATGTATATTCTTGAGTTCAGTTTTCTCTATTATATTCTTTTGGGAGGGTTGTTGGGGATCTTTGAGGCCATTTTCCCAATGTGGAAATGAAAAGTTGTGTGAATGTTACCAGCGGTGTATGCAAAATGCAAGTGACTCCTTTGTGCCAAAATAGCCTTCTCTAGTGGAGGAAGTGCAGCTTCAATGTTGTGTATTCGTTGCACCAATTTATGGCTTCTAGAAGATGTAATTAGCACTTGTTCTTGTAACCCATGAAAAACTTCTGCTGCAAATCTATAATGCAAAAGACTTTTATCTCAGTTCATGGTTGATGATAATTTTCTTTTTAAGTTCATAGTTGATTATAATTTCCAGTTTTCATATGCACATACTTAAGCAAAGCAGCATTCATTGTTGTTTGTAGTACTTCTTACAGAGTTTTACTAAAGCTAAAAATTTAAAACTAAATAAATTGGCTTCGATCAACTCACTTCAGAATTTGGGGGTACTTATTTATTGAGGGGTCAGTTTCTTGAACAATTTTTACATAATCATTTAAAAGAATATTGGATGACTATGAAATAGAAGTTTATTGCATACAAGCTAAACATTCCAGTGAGCCAGAAACTATCTATTTGAAGGTTTTCATTGACTTTACAATCTCCATTAAATCTTCACCAGTTTTTGCATTATAGCACTAAAAGGTGCAACCTTTAATTGAAGAGGAAGAAGAAGAAGAAGAAGAAATAACAAATTCCACAAGAAATCATAACATTGAGATACCCTATGAACCTTAAATCGACACACGCAATTCAGCTCCGTCAAATTCAAATTCAAGTTAACCAACACACTCAGAAAACCAGAAAATCAAGAATAAGAGAGAGAAGAGAGAAGAGAGAAGAGGAGAAATTACTCTGCGAGATCGCCTAATTGACGCAAGATTCCGACGAGGCCAGCAACGGCGACGCCATCAAGCACCGCCTTCGGATCTTCTCTATTGGTTTCTGTGTACAACTCCGGCATTCCCAATCCGTACTCATTTCTCACCTCCACCCTCACCAACGGCATCTTATTTCCGTCTCGCTTACTTTCTCTCTCCAAAATCCGACCTTAGAACTCCGCCCCAACCAGTAAGATTCCGATAACTGCAACCATAAATGCGATGGGAGAGGGTGTGTGTTTGAGTGTGAAAGTGTGTGAGAGAGAAAATCGATGGAGGATTTCGTAGAGATAGAAAATTGATGGATGATTTTGTAGAGAGAGAAAGAGAGATAGAGTAGGTGAGTGGATTGAAGCAGCTTAACTGCTATGGGAGTGGAAAGCTCAGTATTTTTTGCGAATGAGAATATAACCAAATGAAGACGACGACATTGCCAACTCTACAAGCCAAAATTTGGTTCCTGGGTGGGTATCATAGTTGTTGATCGTTCATACCAATTACCATTTTGCCCTTGGCTGATTTCCCATTTTTGCGCTTAGGGTTGGTTCATTAATATCATATTCTCCCTATGGTATCTTTTGAATTAGGGTTAATCACAACTTGATTACATAAGTTATATGACTATTCTAGCTCACTAAAGTTTTTTTCAACCATTTATTAGGCCAGGAGGTATAGACCCACCACATAATGCGTCATTTTGATTTACGGAGCAAGGAGTGCGGTGAAAACCATATCGTCTGGCGTTTTTGGCTTTTCCCCATACGATGAAAACTCCGGCGCTCATCTTCTCTTTTTCTTCTTTTCCATTTTCCATTTTAATATTAACAACTAATTATTAGTATTTTATATATATTAAATATATCATTAAAATATATTAAATTTACAGAAACTTAGTAATTTAACCATATTTTAGTTTATTTTTAAAAATAATAACAATTAAAAAAAAAAAAAAAACTAACCAGTCTCTTCAAAATGAGCATTCCGAAACAAACAAACACGAGTCAAGCTAACTATTGTAGCCTAATGCTATATATATGGGGCCCACATCTGAAAATCAAAATAAGCATTCCGGAAAGTGAAATTCAAACGCTCTTGTTACCAACATTTCGGACAGAGATTTTTAAGCTTATCTACCATAGATTCAACAAACTAAGTGAGTTCTACTCTTTAATTTACTTGCATTTTACTTTACAAACAATTTTATGTATTCTGGAATGCGTAAATGAAGTTGGGAATATCTAATTGTTGTATTTTTTAGTTTTAACCATATAAGAACCATGTAAGTCCCTTAAAATGTGTTAGCACCACTCATTTTAGAGGAAATAAGTCTGCATTACCCATTACAAGTGATTCTGGTATGATAGTATCACTTTGGAATACAAAGAATATACCCTGGAATACGAAGATCAATTCCAGAATGATGGTTTGGAATGATACTAACAGTCCGGTATAATAATTTCATATTTGTTTATTTTTGTTTTTGATATTGTTAATTTAATTTTGAAATTTATTTGCGTTAAACTAATACCTCGTATTAGTCACAAGATCAATTTTCGTAAATGTTGTTAAAAAAGTGGGTTTTACAAATGAATAACTTGTATTCTATTTACACGAGCTTTCAGAATTGCGTCTGAAAGTGTGTTAAAGCTTAAATTGTTAAAAAATAAATAAATAAACCACCAAGGGCACCTATAAAATTAAGAAATAAATTTGAAAGTGTGTTAAAGCTTAAACTGAAAGCAGATAGAACTTCGAAATATATGATCGATACAAGTTTAGACAAACATGTTATTTCAAACTAGTTTCCATTTTATAATTTTTGTTATGGATACGTTTCTGCAAGTTGGTTTTAATTTTGGGACACTTTTTTTTAATATGCATTTTATTATTTTTAATTTCAATCTCCTACATCCAGTGACTCGAGTGATGAGGATGTGTTCCTAATAGAATATGAAATACATCTTGAAGACGAGCAACGACGTCTTGTTGATACGAATGCATTAGAAATGATTCGTGATTATCAACGTGCGAAAAAAATGAATGGTAATACTAGAAATTCCATTATCGCCTTCTGCGATCGAGGAGCATTGAAAACTAGCGTTGTATAATATGCAAATGTTCCTCATTATGATTTTTGAATATATACAATGGTTTTGTGAACACAATGGACATCATCGAAAAAACACATAGGAAAAGTGCAACAATAGAAGAACGAGTGCAAATGATTGATAATTTGTTCTGCCTAATTGAGACCTATATTGAATTGTTTGAAAATCATGTAGACGCTACTAATTTGCATCGAATGCAAGTTCTCGGTTATCCTAGAAACATACTCTAATTTAGATATTGTAATGTAATTTTAAACTTAAATATGTAAAAAGAAATGATATGGTTATCTTAAATGACAATTATTTTCATTAGCATTAGTTAAATGATTGTTACAAAAGTTATTAGATACTTATATTGGTTTCCACATATTAGAAAATTAAAAGGGATACATATTTTGTTCACGGTCGATAAAATCTCCTCAACTTCTAACAACATATGTAAGACAGTCTCGTTCTGCCCGAAGCTTATCAATCTCCGCATTTGCATCCCGAATCCACTTCTCAGCCTCTTTGACTTGTTTCATAGTTTCAGCAACCCATTTTTTATTTTCATTTATTTGTTACGTAGATCGTCTGCATGCTGATTGAGTGTCCGACTTATTTCAGAGTTCCTTTCGTTGGCTTCATCGGCGACTGTCATAGCTTCGAAAATGTCATCAGACATTTTATTTGGGAGTGGGAAATTTGGGCCTTTAAGAAATAGGTTAATATCCGGACAAACATAGCAATCTTCTTTTTCACAATGCCAAACACCAAATTCATATGAACTCATTCTCAACTTTTTACTTTGCTAATGTACTTCGTTTACGATGGATGGTAGATGCATATTAATAGTGTGATGTTTTAACAAAGTAAATTGTGTCCGTAATATGTCTCCAGACTGGGTGCCTGGAATTTGTGCTTGTGACTATGTGTCTGGAACGTGTGTTTGTGAGTCTAAAATTCCAGGAATCTATGACATGAATGATTGATTTAACGTCGAGAATGGTAGTCCAGAATGTGTGTATTGGAATGTGTGACCCTCGATCTTCATGACCCATTATAAATTAGAGATTGGAATTGAAGAACGTATACAACTCTGAAATGGCAGTAAATCAGCCCCAACCAAGGACTCCTTAAGAAGAGATCATGCTCCTTTAGTATTAAATAATCATTGAGGATGATATGGTTGTCATCGATCTCCCACATCTAATGTTCGGATCACGTTGGGTCCTCTTGAAAAATATGTTCCACTATGAGTTATATTATATAGAGTATCTAACAAAAGAAGAAGTGAAGATTAATTTTAAATACATAAGATCAAAGTTGAATATGTTTATCAAAACTTATCATAAGACCGACAATGAAATATTGGATGAAGATGAAGAAGTAATTTTGCAGCCGGCTAGGATGGAATACAAAAAACATAAATAAATGGTTGATTTTCCATATGAACATGCTTGAAATCTTCAAAAAGATGTCCCGTATTTTTAAATTATGTATTTTGTTATTTGTAGGTTAAATAACTTTATGGTATTTCTAAATGATTGTATGACACTTCTAAATTGTGTTTTTTTCTTTGTATATGTAAAAAATAATAGTGCAATAATAATTTTCATTAGTCACTCCAAATCGATAACAAATATAATTAATTGCGATAAAAATAAATATCCGGTTACATAGGGATTAAAACAACCATCAATGAGTCTATTATTTCATATTCTGATGGAGGGGAGACAAGATGCACTTTTTGCGACTGGTATGTAGTTCGAAACATATCAAATCGATAATATATATATATATATATATATATATAGTCTAATTTCGTGATGCTTGAATAACGTAATGTCGCAATAGCATGATTGCACGCTACATCGAGATTGCGGCATTTCTCACATGAACATCTATGGTGGTTCAGATCTACAACACAATTTGTTTTATGATCAAAAACTTGAAAAATGTTGGACGGGATCTTTATTGCCTGGCACCGAACAGACTTTTGCATATTCGTGTAAAGCACCATCTCTTTATATGGGGGTGAACATGCTAGTCTACCTCCCTGAAAAATAAACATTATGATTTATGGAATTTTTACAAATAAATAATAACTCAATATGTTGTAGTATTTAACTCCTATGAGACTGCATTGGACAAAATTTCATTGAATGTACTCACGAATTACCTCAATAAGCTTTATTATCAGTACATTACGTTCATCAACTGATAACAACATGAGGAATTCTGTAATATCAATGTTGAGTACATTCCAATGGATGTTAGGCAAATAGGGTCTTGTCCATTTCACATGACTGATGTTGGAAAGCACCTCATGTGTATCATCGGTTAGGCAATGAAATTTTTGTTGAAAATCAGACATAGAATATGATTTGCATGTTCACCAGAACAAAGGTTCAAATGTTATGTTAGACATAGAATATGATTTGCATGTACACCAGAACAAAGAGAATGTGTTGGAAGTGTGTGAGAAATAGGTTGAAACTCATCGGTATTTATAACCAAAAACTAAGTGTGCACTGCGCACCCTGTCTGGACGCGCCACACATAGTGTCAGGGAGGGTGACGTGGCAGTTCCTGGATGGTGACACATGGCAAAATTCTGTTGGAGTGTCAAGGCGCACCATGCATGTTGTCTATGCGCGCGGCTGGGCGCAAAAAATCTTATTTTCTTCAAAAATTCATATCTTCTTCATACGAGTTCCGTTTTTGATGCATTTTATATTCACACCTAGCTATCGACGAGTTCTACAATTTTCGTTCAGACTCCATCGAGTAATTCTTACTTTATTTTAAAGCTATATTTTTAACAGACTTAGACTTTTAAAGCTCCGATAAAAATCATAAATCTCTCATAAGATATATGTTTTCTGTTGTCATTATATCGACGGATAGGCATGGACGAGATCTTCAAATCTTGTTTAGATTGTTTTTCCTAACAATCAACTGATCTCAAATTCGAAAAGTGAATTTATGCTACACTAAAACTTAGTAAAATCATAACTTTCTCATACGAAGCCAGATTTGCACGTTCTAAATATGTGAGCTCTCAATTTTGTGACTACTACGACTTTTGTTTTGATTTCTTAAGCTAATAAGCAACCTATCTAAAAGTCACTTTTCTCGATACGCAGATTTGTGTCGATTTAATCGTGAAACATCGAAGATGCATAATTTCTTCATACAAAGTCAGATTGAGGCGTTCTATATATTTACGGAAATCATATCGATGTTTTCTACATGTTTATGATGATAATTTTGGTTCAAAAGTAATATTTCTACTTCATATTTTATAATAATTGCTTAATATTACAATTTACCGAAGCAGTAAAAATGGGGTGTTACATATTTACATGAAATGTGTGGTTATGTCCTTAAGTCCAAATTTGAGT